TTAATAGGAAATTACTTTAAAACTATGAAATTCGCCGGGCGGTGGTGGCGCACGCCTTTAATCCCAGCACTCGGGAGGCAGAGCCAGGCGGATCTCTGTGAGTTCGAGGCCAGCCTGGGCTACCAAGTGAGTTCCAGGAAAGGCGCAAAGCTACACAGAAAAACCCTGTCTTGAAAAACCAAAAAAAAAAAAAAAAAAAAAAAAACTATGAAATCCTTTGTCCTTCAGGAAACAGTCCACTAATTTAATAATTTTTATCAGTCTGTACTCACTCTATCATTTAGCGATAATCCATTAATACAGTACTCGGGAGATTAATGCAAGAGATATCAGAAGCACCAGGACAGCCTGGGCTCCACAGCAAGACCTTCTCATCTAATCGTCATCGTCGTCGTCGTCATCATCATCTATTACTATTATTATTTGGATGCTCAGTTTTTCCCAGCTCTATTCTGTGGGTACCCCTTAAACTGGCTCCTGACTCTTTCCCATGGAGCTCACCATTCTTTGAATACTTTACTGTTCTCTGGTGGAGGATGTCCCAGGTTTACACACTTCTCCACTCATTGGAGAAACCAGCCATTTCTCCAATTTTAATAAAATGAACAGTGCCTGAAGTCAACATCTAGGTGTTAAGTATACTTACTGCTTGGAAATCAGTGGACATGAGCCAGGCAGTGTGGCACACATCTTTAGTCCGAGCACTTGGGAGGCAGGCAGAGGAAGGCGGACCTCTGAGTTTGAGGCCAGCCTGGTCTACAGAGTGAGTTCCAGGATAGCCAGGGCTACATAGAAACCCTGTCTCAAAAAACCAAAAAAAAAAGAAAGAAAGAAACAAAGAAGTGAGTGGACAGAGCTACTAATATACTAATATGTGTATGCAAAGTCAAAAACACACATACAACATTCTTGTAACAAGAAGTATACACATATACAATATGCACATTATATATATAAAATATATATCTTTGTACATATGTGGCACAAAGACACATTTATAATTGTGAATTCACACTGATAACATCACAAAGGTTTTCCCCTCTCCCGCTTATCTTTATTTTCTTCCTTCCCTAATGGAAAACCCTGCACCCTGCTTTCCTTGATAGATTTCCTTATCTGATCAGTTCCTGTGTATATAACCAACAACCCCCTGCAGCTGCCACATCTGTCCCCCACCCCCAGAGCTGCCCTCCTCACCGACTCAGCCTCACCCTTCTGTGCTGGTCTGTCCTGAAGCATGGGTCAAATACCACCTGTCCCCTGTTCAGTTGCCCTCGTCACCTTGCTCAGTTCTGAGACCAGGGGTGAGCTAATCTTTGCAGGAGCATCTTCTTCATCGTGTTGAGCCTCCCACCCTGATCTGTCCTCTTACTTGGAAGCCATCCTCACTGGGATCTCTGTGCCTCTAGCTCCACCTACCAGCCGAGGTAAACATCCCTCCTACTTCCGCTCTTCCAAGGGCTCTAGAACCACTCAAAAAAAAAAAGAGAGAAAAGAGCTGAGGCAGGGTGATGGAGTACTAAGACGAAACCGGTTGAGCTTATACTTTTTTTTTTTTTGTTTTTTTGAGACAGGGTTTCTCTGTGTAGCTTTGGAGCCTGTCCTGGAACTCACTCTGTAGCCCAGGCTGGCCTCGAACTCACAGAGATCCGCCTGCCTCTGTCTCTCGAGTGCTGGGATTAAAGGCATATTGCACCACCACCCGAGCTTATTCTTAACAAACATTTACATGACCAATTTTGAAATATTAGAAATAGCCCAATTAAAGATGGGCTCCTAATAAACCTGTTCATTGAAACAGTGTAAATGACTTTTCAAAAGAACATTCTTTTTTATTATTATTATTATTATCATCATCATCATCATCATCATTATTTATTTTTATGTGCACTGGTGTTTTTGCCTGTGTAAGGGTGTCAGGTCCCCTGGAACCGTGGTTACAGGCTGTCACGTGGGTTGCTGGGAATTGAACCTGTGTCCTCAGGAAGAGCTGTCTGTGCGTAATTAACTGCTGAGCCAACTCTCCAGCCCAAGTTTAAATAGCATTAAAGACAAAAACTGCTAGTGTTTTCTACAAAGACATTATCAGGCAAATGTGGGTACTTAAGTAAGAGTCATTCCCACAAATACTTATTACTAGGCAATGTAGGGGCTAGTTGGGAAGGGAGCCAATCAAAACAGCATATAAGCTATGTCTTTGGAAGTTAAGGTGCTAGTTCCAAATGACATCACTGAAAATGTTTCAAAAATAACCCATTCCCTCAGTTTGTTCCATGTGATCATACTAATGACTGCAAAATATTGCTGCTTGCATAATATTTCTTTTCCGAAGATATTGTTATGTCTCTTATTTAATTAAAAAGGGGGGTAGGGGGCTGCTGAGATAACTTAGCAGGCACTGGCACCCAACGTCAAGCCTGACAACTTGAGTTCAATCCCTAGAACCTACACGGTAAAAGGAAAACAACTCTCAAGTTGTCCTCTGAGGGTTAGGAGCATACTGTAGCATCCAGGCAGGAGCACACTTGTATGTACATATGTGTACACAAAATAAATCAAAAATTAAGAAAAAAAACCTTGGAAGTAGCTAGTAACTCACTCTTCATGCCTTACCCCTGACTTCATTCTAGGATTCAAAAGTACATGTGTCCTTCGCCTCCTACCACAGTATGCTCTTGGTCAGTAGTTCTAAATTCTTGATGGCACACCCAGTTATCTCAGAGAGAGCTGTGTCTAAGAAAACAGGCTGTGGAGTCAGACTGACTAAGCTTTCTGCTCTACCACTAAACTACGTGTACTCGGGCAATTGCTCAACTGAAGCCCCAACTTCCTCTTTTGAAAAATCAGGGAAAATAAAATCTAACTCACCAGGCTACATGCTGCATAGTACTGTGGCTGGCACACTTCTCTTACAGAATACAAGTATAGGAACTTATACCCAGTTTATTATTGAAATTTGCCGCCAAAGTCATCTTTCAGCAGAACATTTATCCCTAAGTAGTTCAAAATATAAACACAAAAAGCATCTAGTAAACCTTGCAGTATTTCTTCAGCAAAGAGTAAGATGAATCTCATTCAAATTAATACCAAATCTAGAAAGCTGTGTGTGTGTGTGTGTGTGTGTGTGTGTGTGTGTGTGTGTGTGTGTGTTGTCTACATCTATGTCTGTGCCCAGAGAGGCCAGAAGAGGGCACCAAACAGGATCCCCTAGGACTGTAGTTAGAGATGGTTGTGAGCTACCATGCAGGCGTTGGAAATTGAACCTGGGTCCTCTGGAAGAGCAGATAGTGCTCTTCATCGCTGAAAGTATCACTTTGAAGGTTAGCTTCACAGAAGATGCAGATGCCATGCCCTTCAAATGCCTTATTGTTTCATAACTTTCACCTGAGTGGAGGCTGTGAGGAAGTCCCATGTTCCCCTCGGTCATTCGGCACATTTATTTACAGCTTCATCTGCTTCCTAGTTTCCTCCCTTTAGAGGCCAGGTGTGTACATTAACTTCAACCGGATGCCAACAGAGTATCTAACAATACACCCTCAGGGTCCTCTCATGTGATTTTAGCCTGCTTTGACTTACACCGAAAGTTTTCAAAACGACTACGCCCCAGACTGATGTCTATGCTAAATAAGTCAGGGGTTTTATCTGTTTTGTTTTGTTTTGTTTTGTTTTTTTCTAGGGCAAGATCTGAGTATCAGTCTTTTTAAAGTTCTATAATTTCCACCTACTTCGAAGTGGAGAACCAAACTTCTAGGACTAACCTAAAATACGCTGATTCTCAGAACGATAGTTGAGGCTGGATTTGTAGCTCCATGGTGGGGCCCCGCTTCCTTCCACGCAGGAGGCCCAGAGTTACACACTCAGAAGGGAGATAAGGGGGAAGGGAAGGAAGGAGGGAAAAGGGGAAGGAAAGAGAGGTGGTCTAGAAAAAGAGTATTCAGAAGCAAAGGGCGGGTCATGTCCTGGACAATTATTTGTAAGTCTTCCGATGGAAAACAGATGTGGAGCAAGACAATCCCGAGACTAGAGGAATCCAAAAGATTTATCCGAGTTGTGTGTGTCCCTTTGATCATTTTCCGTCTTTATAGTATATTCAACCAATCTACATGCTATAAGCTCATGAAAATAATCTATAATAATAGATGAAAACCTTCTGTAGAAGAATGTCTGGACTTCGTTCCTAGTGGGCCAGTCTTACAACTGCTTGAGCGATCAGTGGTGACTTAAATGGGAGCCAGCCCTTCACAGACACAGGAATTGCACGGAGAAACCGGTTACATGAATCGCTTGCAACACAAAGTATAAACAGGTGAGCTAAGACGGCAAACTCGATCTTGACTTTAGGTCATGTTTTTCACATAAATCCTTCTGTTGACATGCCTCAAGCACGCAACCCAACACCCTCGAAAAATGTTTTGTTTTGATAAAGACCATGGTGTAAAGACAAGACACACGTATCATTTTCTTATCTGGGCTTGACTGAGTTGGCTGGGTGCGGTGATTTTTTTTTTTTACCATCTGCTGTAAAAAACATCCTCAAAGCCAACACCTGCCAGGAGGAAAGGTGATACCAGGGCCTCGCTGTGGCCTCTAGTGAAGGGAGTTGGCCTCGGGGAATGTGGACTCAGAATGCCACAGTAGCAGAAGCCAAGTCCCCAGCATCCCCCGCACGAACCCACGCACTCTTACTAGCCCACTTCGTAGGAAAACCCCGACCCCGTCCTAGTAGCAACTCCCGGGGTCAAACTGGGCTATACTGGGACCGGCCGGGATCACCCCTAGACACGGCAGACCTGGAGCCGCCCCTGCTCCCACGTTTCCTCCTAGGGTAACCCGCGCCCAGCCAATGAGAGGCCGCCTCCGCTCCGCAGCCGCCTGCGCCCGCATCCCCGCGATCCCTGCGCGGGCGGCAAGGGATGTCCTCCGGCTGGAGGATCGCGGCCGCTGCGCCCCTACCCGTGCGCCCAGAGCCCTCCCTGGTCGGGCCCCTGGACCCCAGGCACCTGCGGGATCGCCTTCTGCCCGATCCGGGCGCGTCGCCGCCAGAAAGCACAGAAGCAGGAGCGGACAGCCGGGCGCCACAAGCGCCCTCAGGCCAGCGAGCGAGCGCATGGCGCGGGCGGGTCGGTCCTGGAGGTCGCTGTTGCGCCCCCGGCTTGCTGCGATCCGTCTCCGTTGGTCCCTGCGCGCACACTTGCTGGTAGCCGGGCGCCCACTGCCAGTGCCGGCGACAGGACACGCGAGAAAAAGCGGAGTGGGAGGGGCCCGACCGCCCTGGCCACCTCCCCCCGAGACGCTCCCAGCGCACCCAGCTTTGCGTCGGCCCTTCATCAATTATGCAGTTCTCAGCCCGCTGCAGGCGCGCCCGGATGTGCTGTGCTACCCTGGCGCCGCATCCTCTCCCGCCCCCACCCTCTCGGCTTGCCCCGGCTGGGGAGGCAGCGAGCTAATCGAGCACGCCAGGAGATGATGTCTAAGCCATCACCTCCAGGACGTGTAGCAACTCCCTACAGACTGTTCTGTGCATCTATTGGATGGGTTCGCTTTATTTACTTTGATCAGCCAGGTGAAGAAGACGGGCTACTTCTGCTCCTGTACATCTTTGGATAATACAAAGGTTTATTTTTGCCAGACCAGAGGCGCTATCCAGTGGCCCTGACCCCGGTACTTAATGTTCCTCAGAGCTTCCTATCTGTCATACACACCCTCCCCCAACCCAATCTCTGAAGGTTTAGCTAGTTCCCTCCTGATTAAGGTTTCCAAGTCCCGAGGCCCCATAGTGTGTCTCCTTTTGTTTGCTTGCCACAACAGTTTTCCTGGCGCCAAAGAGCTCAAGAAACAAAAACTAAGTTAAGGGGATACTATGTAAACTGCCGAAGGCCATTCACCTTTGTCAAACATTGTAGAATACAATGTTATCACTTATCCTTGAGGGACCTGAGGTTGGAATTTTTTTACTCTCCCACCAAATAAATTAAGATAATTAAAAACGATTGTTTTGCTGGTCCTGGGAGAGGGATCCTGTATTCTGACACGGATGCCTTGCTCAGCATCCCTTTGTCCTATAGGAAACCTCCACTCAGGTAACACTGCAGGAAGGAGTTCATTAAAAAGGAATTTTTCGCAAGACAGATTTAAATATGAGGATTAATACGAAGCATAAGACACACCCAAGACCACGTGTGCCGATATACATATATACTCCTCTAAAAAAGAATTTTTCTCAAGGTAGATTTAAATATGAGGATTAATACGAAGCATAAGACACACCCAAGACCCTCTTCTCCCCTCTCCCCTCTCCCCTCTCCCCTCTCCCCTCTCCCCTCTCCCCTCTCCCCTCTCCCCTCTCCCCTCTCCCCTCTCCCCTCTCTCCTCTCTCGGAGGCAGAGGCTGGTGGATCTTTGTGAGTTCGAGGCCAGCCTGGTCTACAGAGCGAGATCCAGGAAAGGCGCAAAGCTACACAGGGAAACCCTATCTCGAAAGAAAAATCACACACACCTGCAAGGTTGTTTGCTGGTATGTTCTCCCTGAGTCAGAAAGCAGCTACTTTAACTTTCTTCCCTGCTTAATAAAGGATCTCTCTGAAAACAGTGTCTGAGTGCTGTTTATGCCTAATCCAGTTTGGGGAGCCCCCTCTGTGCAGGGGTTTTCTCCTGTATATATCAGAACAATATTTTCTCTGTGTGGGCGGTGTTCCCAGCAAATGTTAACTGTGATGAGTTCTTGACTACTAGTTGGGGAGCAGCTTCATCAGACTCCAAATGAGTGACTCCTTTCCTTCCCCTGTTTCCCTAATTTTCTCTGTCTTCCTACCTTGGCCCCCCCTATGACTTTGTGGGATGACACCATAAAGATTACAGGGGGGAAAAACTGTCTATTTTTGGCGGGGGTTTTTTTTGTTTGTTTGTTTGTTTCTTTGTTTGTTTTTTAGACATTGCCCAGCTGTATTGCTGAGGTTGTCCTCCAGGGCCTGGTCAAGCAATCCCTCTACCTCAGCCTCCCACCACAGCATGGCAACCACAGCACTCAATTGCGTGCGTGCGTGCTCGCGTATATTTAAAATATTTCTCAGGAACTGTGTTCCTCCCCTTTGCTCTTCTTTTAACTTTTATTTTGTGTGTGGGTGTTTTGCCTACGGGTATGTTTGCATCACGTGTGTTCCCAGTGCCCATGCAGGCCAGAAGGGGGCAATGGATCCTCTGGAGCTGGAGTCACAGATGGTTGTAAGCAGTCATATGGATGCTGAGAATCAAACTGTAGTCTTCCAGAAGAGCAGCAGCTAGTGATCTTAACGGCTGAGCCATCTCTGCAGTGACATGCCCCCTTAGTTTTTTTTTTTTTAAAGCTAGGTTTGATAATCATAAATTCAAAGCAGATTTAAAAAAAAAGATTCCTCAAAAAGGACAGACACTTTTTGCAGAAAGAAACTGCTCTCAGACAACTACTGAACAAGAGACAGACCTGGGTTAATATTACTTAAAAAAAAAAACTTCAGGAAAGAATATGGCTTCTGGCTGAGCTGTGGTGGAGCACGCCTTTAATCCCAGCACTTGGATGGCAGAGGCAGGTGGTTCTCTGTGAGTTCAAGGCCAGCCTGGTCTACAGAGTGACAGCCAGGGCTACACAGAGAAACCCTGTTTCAAAAAAACCCAACATATATATAGATATATAGATATAGATATAGATGAATAGGTAGATATAGTTTCTATAAGTTAGTATTAAAGAACATGAATGAAACAACTCACTAGTCAATATTAAGACATATCTGCTGAGTAACGGGGGCTGTGTTTAAAAGGGACTGTCCATAAAACAAGTAACACACACAGTGACTTATACAGTCATTTGCCTATGGACTGCAAACCCATGGACTCTTCCTGTTATCAGAGTTACAGTCAGAACCTGGGCCCTGGTGACCCCATAAAGGTAGGTGAAGCCTCCTGCCCTCAGTAGGTCACTTAAACAGAGAAAGGGTAGTCACCAGGATCACACTGGGAAGGGAACAAAGAGGTCCAGTGACCCACCCATGTCCATCTTCAGGTTCTTACTTGAGGTTTAGGGTTAAATACAAGGCAGGAGGACTGCATAATTAAGCAGTCCCTTTGAAGGGGTGCTCCCCCAACCCTCTTGTCTCAGATTCAGTGTCTCCTGCAAGGTGGTCTGGCACATTGTCAAAACTAAGTAAAATCTCTTTCTAGGAGACAAGTCTCTTCTAGCATAAGAGTCCCCAGAAAATTCCAGTTGCTTGATGACCATTATTTCCATAGTCTGTTCGCCCAAGGAAGGGACCCAAAAGTATTCATTCTTTCGTGAATGGACGACTATATTTGCAGTCAGAAAAAAATCTATATTTATCACAACTCAGCCACTCTCATCAAAGTCTTGCGAGACCCGGAGGGCCTACCATTGACACACTGTAACCTTCCCAGGGTCTGGGGTGGGCTAGCTAAAGCCAAATTTCCTGATCAATGGCTGCCAATTCACACCAGTCAGCTGCCCAGCATCACTAACTGCAGTGGCTTCCCAGCACCTGGGGAGCATTTAATTAATTGCAAGCCCTTCTCAGTCCTGACCTCAACTGACCTCTCTCAATTAGCCTTACAGAATCCATCTCAAAGTCACCCTCCTTCAAGTGAGCTGACCCTAGCTAGGGAGACATTTTCATTGCAGTCGAATCTGTCTGTTTATCAACAGGCAGTAGTGACTTGAGAAACCCAAGGTTAATTGCTGTGGTCCTTTGTGTCCTTTGAGCCAAAGAAGTTGAGAAAGAAATATTAATTCTTGTTTCACGAAGCATTTGGAGACTCTTCACCTTTGTTACAGTTTTATATTTTAAGTATATCTTGCATGGTTTGGCCTTGTCTCCATTACAGATTTTCAAAGGCTTGGTATCTTTTACAGCCGGATCATGGACTCATTTCCCCATACAGCTTTTCTGGCCTTTCTATTTAGAATTGTCCTTTCCCTGTCTAATAAATGAGACGTGGCCACAAATGCTTTGGTGCTCTCTTAGTGCGGTGAAGGAGAGGATGGAGGCCCCGTCTACTTTCTCGAGCTGAGCACTGGGTGTCTTCAAAGAAACCACACAGGAGCCTTCAGATCTAGGTCGCAGGCACCTCCTTTCTCTTGGAGGAGAGATGAAAAGGAGTTACTCCAAGACCCACCATGCGGTGAGAAAGGCACCGTAGGATCTGTACAGATAAAATCACATCAAGTTTAAAAAAAACGAAAAACAAAACAAGAGTGTGTTGTACACACAGAACAGTGTGTGACTGTGAGAAGCCAAGGGTGGCTGTCGAGAGTTACTGCACACTTTACAGAGCTTAAAGGAAGAAATTCAGTGATGTCTTGTGATGGGCCCTAAAAACATGTATCCTTTTGAAGTAAATGGAGCTTTACAAGCTCGTTTGTCCAAAACTAGCTGTTTTGACTTCGTCATACTCTCAAGAAAGAAAAAGCTTGAGTGTATTTGTTTAGTGCTTGCATTTCAAGGAAATTAAAAATGGCTTAGTTTCTGTTCTGTGGCTATGTTTAGGAGTTGGCATGGCCTAGGGGTGTACAAACTGTGGCCCCAATTGTTACTATGTTATAAAGTCTCCCGTTCTGGGGTGATCTGAGAATGTGACCGGATTATAACTAGTTCTCTGCCCCTGTAGGTACCTGTTCAGGCCCTTGCAGATAACAAAGGGGAATTTTAATAGGTTTTTTAAACCAAGTGCCACTCTGGGCAGCTTTTGTTTGTCAGTACTGGTGGGCGGTGGGGTGGATCTTTTGCTGAGCTAATGACTACTGACAAGCTTTAAGGCTCTTAAGAGACCATGGGGCTCAACAAATGTTATCACTAGAATCAGCAGGGAGATAGGACCCAGTGTCTGACAGGATCCCAAACCAAGATCCTAAAGCCAATATTTAGCCAACCAAAGAGATAAATGGTTGTGCCGTCCTGACTCTGTGGGAGATTTCAGTCAGATCTTTTAGATCTGTCCCATGTGAGGCTGGGTGTTTTTCCTGCCTGTGTTTGAATGTGGGGACTTCTCAGGCTTGGGAGTCCTAACACAGGAGGACTTTACGATGTGCTTTTAAGTTTATCAAGGGCCTTGTGTTTTGTTTCCTGAAGAGAAGTTGACAGTGTGTTCTTTTTAGTTTGTGGACTGGTTAGTCCAAACTTGGGGACAGACAGCCCTCAATATACTGCCTGCAAGTCCAAGGAATCTTATGTGTGTCTTCCATCGATGTCTGAAAATAAAGTTGGATGATACTAATTTTTTCTGAAGACTTCCTTTGCTGATGTCACAGCCTGGATAAGGCACCATTTCTTCTCAGAAGTAAAGCTTATTGAAGTGAGTCTTTGACCCTGATAAGCCCATTGTAACAGAAACCCTGAGTCAAATGCTGAGTCCTTCATAG